TGCACAAAATATTATCTTTGATCTTTCTTCTGTTTTAAGATTATTTAAAATATTCAATAAATGACTCTTTAAACTGTACATAGCATTATGATACATCTCACTGTACATTTATTATGTTATGTAATTGTTCATTCTGACTTTGAGATTGATGCTAACATTTAAAATCACTTTAAGCTACAGTTTTAAATTGATACGGAAACATATTAAGGTTTTTTTAAAATGAATGATAAGGAGAAACTTCAATTTATTTGCTGTTTTCCATCTGATACACATATTTTTTATTAAATTAATTCACAAAGTCTTGACGGTCTGCTGCTGATGCCTTTTGAAATCTACAGAATTACATTCTGCTGGCTTTCTCGCAGATGTTATGTGTGTTTTGCTTTTTATTTGATTAGTACCATCATCTGTGCTTCTGTAGTTTGTTTGCAGGGGAACAAACTACAGGCAACTTCAGTGACATCATTTTAAAGTTGTGAGCCGTAGACAGTTAATGTGTGGACTGATAGTTTTGGGCCGACGCTTTTATTCTGACTCTGTGGGTCACTTTATGAACCACTGATGTATGTGCAAAGTTTGGTGACTTTTACAATATATTTACTGCTCTGAACAGCCAATTTTATTTTTGCTCAAAATAACTTCATTCCTGCAAACCTCCAGTAGGGCGGAAAAAATGTTCATTTTAATCCAAAATAACCGACTTCCTGTTGGGTTTGCACCATGGATCCAAGTCCGAGACCATGGTCTTGAGCCAGAAAAAGGTAGAGTGCCTCCTCTGGGTCGAAGGGGATGTCCTGCCTCAAGTGGAGGAGTTTAAGTATCTCGGGATCTTGTTCACAAATGAGGGAAGAAGGGAGCGGGAGGTCAACAGGCGGATTGGTGCGGCATCCGCCGTGAAGCGGGCGTTGTACCGGTCCATCGTGGTGAAGAGAGAGCTGAGTCAAGAAGCAAAGCTCTCTATTTACCAGTCGATCTACGTTCCTTCCCTCATCTATGGTCATGAGCTTTGGGTCACGACCGAAAGAATGAGATCTCGGATACAAGCGGCCGAAATGAGTTTTCTCCGTAGGGCGGCTGGGCTCTCCCTTAGAGATAGGGTGAGAAGCTCGGTCATCCGGGAGGGACTCAGAGTAGAGCTGCTGCTCCTCCACATCAAGAGGAGCCAGTTGAGGTGGCTCAGGCATCTGGTCAGGGTGCCCCCTGGACACCTCACTGGAGAGGTGTTTCGGGCACGTCCCACCGGGAGGAGGCCCCGGGGAAGACCCAGGAAACGCTGGAGAGACTACGTCTCTCGGCTGGCCAGGGAACGCCTCGGGATTCCCCCGGAGGAGCTGGAGGAAGTGGCTGGGGAGAGGGAAGTCTGGGTCTCCCTTCTTAGGCTGCTACCCCCGCAACCCGACCTCGGATAAGCAGCAGAAGATGGATGGATGAAATTTTATTTTTATTGAAATTTAAACATTTCCTACGAGGAAAAATTTGGGGTACATTTTGGTAAATTTCGGGGAATTTTACATTCCCAAGTAAAGACATGGGAACGTGATTACAATAAGCCTTCACACAGCCATAGTGAAATCAAAAGCAGAGGCCAACAGTGAGTGACTGGGAATGAAACAAAATGCAATGTCACTGAGTCCCAAAGTTAAAACGAATCCTAAAAAAAGTCTAAAGAGGAGGAGGAAGCAGAAACTCCCCAGAGAGACAAAGCAGCAGAGAGGAGGGAGGACAGATAAACATGTGCAGCAGGACAGGATCAGGTCAGAGAGCTGCAGCCGTCTGAGGATGGAGATCCAAGACACAAGTGATCTCTGTTTCCCACATCTCCTCAACAGCTCCTGCAGGAAGCCCACACTTCACTGGTCTGAAGCCGTTCTCCTGAACTCTGTGCTGCTCTTCATCTCACTGATCACTGTAGTGCTCAACCTCCTCATCATCATCTCAGTCTCTCACTTCAGGCAAACAGCAGCTTCTCAGCTGAATCTACAGATTAAGTTTTAAGAATGCTAGGCCATATTTATTTGATAATTGATGCATAATTGATATTTTGTCTCCTTCCAGGCAGCTCCACACTCCTACAAACATCCTCCTCTCTCTGGGTGTTTCAGACTTTTTTGTTGGTCTGCTGCTGATGCCTTTAGAAATCTACAAAATTACATTCTGCTGGGGTCTTGGGGATGTTATGTGTGTTTTCTTTTGTTTTTTGATTTCTAACCTCATCAGTGCTTCAATTTGGAACATTGTTTTGATATCAGTTGACCGCTATATTGCTATATGTTACCCTCTGCATTACCCCACCAGAATCTCCTCGACGAGAGTCAAATATTGTGTTTGTCTGTGTTGGTTCTGTGCTTCTTCCTGCAGCCTTTTCTATTCAAAGGATGTGATGATTCATTCTGGTAAATCCTGCATTGGAGAATGTAAATTTATCATCAGCAACTTTCTAGGAACATTTGACCTCATTTTTAATTTCATTCTTCCAGTGACGACCATCATAGTTCTGTATCTGAGAGTGTTTGTGGTGGCTGTGTCTCAGGCTCGTGCCATGCGCTCTCACATCACAGTCGTCATCTTTCATTCGGCGACATCAGCAACAAAGAAATCAGAGTTAAAAGCAGCCAGGACTCTGGGGGTTCTAGTTGTTGTATATCTAGCGTGTTTCTGTCCGTATTACTGCTACTCATTAGTTGATATTAATCTAACTAGTGCCTTAGATGCATCGATTTTGTGTTTCCTCTTTTATGCCAACTCTTGTCTGAACCCTGTGATTTACGCCCTGTTCTATCCCTGGTTCAGAAAAGCTGTTAAAGTCATTGTTACTCTCCAGATACTGCAGCCTGGATCACATGAGGCCAAGCTACTGTGAACACTCTGCTGACTGACTGAAATCAGAACAAGAGAGATTCGTCATTAAACATTTAGAATGAATGGTCTGCACATTTAAATGAACTGTTTTGTGTCATAAATCAACACAAAGTAGATGTTGCTTAGGGGAGCAAATATACAAAATATTATCTTTGATCTTTCTTCTGATCAATGAAGAAAGATATTATAATATTTATTTATTAAAATATAATAAATATATATTTATATTTATTTATATAGTATAATAAATAAATATAACTATTTATTTATTATATTATATAAATAAATATAAATATTTATTTATATTCAATAAATGAATATTCAATAAATATTCATTTATTGAATATTTTTTTGAATATTCAATGACTAAACTGTACACAGCATTGTCATACATTTGATTATATATTTATTATTTTGTATCTTTAATTCTTTGTTCTGACTTTGAGATTGATATTAAAATTTAAAATCACTTTAAACTACAGCTTTTAATAGATACATTAAAACACATCAAGGTTTTTCAAATGCAAATGGATGAGAAGCTTCAATGTATTTCGTCACATTGGCAGTTTTATTACTGGTGAGTTTGTCTATTAATCAGATTAGTGTGTTTTATTAAATTTACAATGTCTCTAAGGGAAAAAACTACAGGCAACTTTTGGTCTTTGACTTTATTTCAAAGTTGTGAGCAGTATTGAGAAGAAATGTTTCTGCTGATAGTTATTCATATTTTATTTTGGAGAAACTTTGATGAACATAATTTATTTTCAAATATAGAAGTCACTAAAACCTTAACATAATGAGAAAGCAATCGCTTTAGCTAAACTGATTTAAGGCGACTGTGTATTTTAAAAACACGGAGAGACTAACTTTCACTGAGTCAGATGTTTTTTAAAAGGTGGGCTGAGAATAAATGAGAAGAACGAAACTTTTAACAAGTTAGAAGAAGAAAAAGCACCACAAGTAAAAATGTAAAGCCATCAGCAGCTTTGCGCTGCCCTCGGCCCTGTTGCTCTGGCACCGCCGCCCTATTAGTCTCACACCGTTCATGCACCCAACCACCAGGGGGCGAAATAAGTAAAACTTTCAAACAGCCTTCAATTTTTATCATACACACGGAAAAGCTGGAAGAGCCGTACAATATTTCTCGCTCTCTTGCTTGAGTGGGCGGGGCTTACGAGACGTTATGAAACACCAACATGTGCAGCTGTGCTTCCTGATGACCGATCAGCACCACAAAAACTCTGGCGCTGATCAGTTTATGTATCAGGGACTTTTAGCTGTTGGAGTTAAAATTCAACATAAACATATTGGGCTCTCTAGAGATGAACAAAGGTCATTTATATCCAGTTTGGTGCAATTTGGATTATGTATATGTGACTTAGAGCGTGTTCAAACAGCCAGGGCTTGGAATTCACCATTCTGCCACATTTAGTGACTTTCAGAATATATTTAGGCCTTCAAATAGCCAAATTACTTTTGCTAAAAAATAATAACTCCATTCCTGCACACCTCCTTTAGGGCAGACAAAATGTTGACTTTGATCCAAAATGTTGGTTTTGGACAATGAATCCAAGAAACTTTTTTGTACATCTTTATAATTTATATAATATATATAAGAATTCTAAGAATGTGAGTCAAAGGATGGCTTGAGGCTGCTATCTATCTATCTATCTATCTATCTATCTATCTATCTATCTATCTATCTATCTATCTATCTATCTATCTATCTATCTATATATATATATATATATATATATATATATATATATATATATATATATATTTGATTCTAGGGGGCGCTGTGGAGAAATCAGGCCACATTGACCAAATATTGAACTGGAATCCCTTAAGGAGATGGATTAGGATGGATCATAGTGAGTTTGGTACAGCTTGGCTTAAATCTGTGGAGCTTGGAGACAAACACATATCAATGTTATTCTGTCTCAAACTAATTCAAATAAAAAAACAGTGACGTTTGTGTTTTTGCCGCGACAAGGGGTGAACATGTTTGCAATGCTCTGAGCAAAGAAGGAGGGTGGAGAGACAACAGATCCCCTCCTGAGACTAATGCACAACGTGGACTTAATGAACAGATATCAGTGGATAACAGGGACTGTGGCCAACACTTGATCTCTCTCAGGATGGAGATCCAAGACAGAAGTGATCTCTGTTTCCCACATCTCCTCAACTGCTCCTGCAAGAAGCCCACACTTCACTGGTCTGAAGCCGTTCTCCTGAACTCTGTAATGTCTTTAATCTCACTGGTCACCGTAGCGTTCAACCTGCTCATCATCATCTCAGTCTCCCATTTCAGGCACATATTAACTTCCTGGCATAGACCTATATTTCAGTTTTTGACCTCTGTGATCATTTCTGACAGATTTAATGACATAGTAAACGGATCGTTGATGTTTTGTGTGTTTTCTTCCAGGCAGCTTCACACACCCACTAACATCCTCCTCCTCTCTCTGGCCGTGTCAGACTTTCTTGTTGGTCTCCTGCTAATTCCCTTCGAGGTCTACAGAAGCACAGCCTGCTGGTTTCTTGGTGACGTCGTCTGTGTCTTGTACTGCTACCTAGTCGTTCACATAGTCTGTGCTTCAATTGGAAACATTGTTCTCATTTCAGTCGACCGCTACGTCGCCATTTGCGACCCTCTGCACTACCCCACCAGAATCTCCACGGCGAAAGCCAAATGCTGCGTGTGTGTGTGCTGGCTGTGGAATGGCCTCTACGGCATGTTCTTTATGAAGGACGACATGATCCAACCGGGAAGAAGTAACTCCTGCACTGGAGAATGCTCGCTTCTCATTGACTACGGTGTCGGAACTCTCGACCTCGTCTTGAACTTTGTGTTTCCGGTGACCGTCATCGTCGTCCTGTACGTGAGAGTGTTCGTGGTGGCCGTGTCTCAGGCCCGTGCCGTGCGCTCTCACGTGACAGCCGCCTCGCTCCAGCAGTCCGTATTTTTAACGAGAAGATCTGACTTGAAAGCTGCCAGGACTCTTGGCGTCCTCATTGTTGCGTATCTCGTCTGTTTCTGCCCGTACTACTGTTACTCGCTCGTCGAGGTGAATTTTACCAGCACACACGCGACGTTTGTCGTCTTTCTGTTCTATTTTAACTCTTGTCTGAACCCTGTGATCTACGCCCTGTTTTACCCCTGGTTCCGTAAAGCCATCAGACATATCGTCACGCTGCAGATACTGCAGCCCGGCTCCTGCGAAGACGTCTTGTAATACAGTGTGAGATTTCTATAATCCCCCGGCTCAGAAGAATGGAAGTACCCTTGTTTTTTTATTTCATGCAGCACATAATTATTTAAGGTTTTTTTTCACACTGGAGTAATCTTAAACAATTTGACATATCATATATCTTGGCAATGCATTTCAGTTTATCAAATATGTCTGTCCACTTTTAGTATGTCAGTGCTCTGATGAACCTTTAGAATAAAAAATATATATAATACTCCAGATAAATTGCAGATTTCTTTGCCTGATATAATAAAGTCTGTATAGTCTGGTGAAAAAACAGCGATGCTCTTTATAACACACATCTTTTATATTTTATTTGGAGCAACCTCTAAACATTCATGTGTTTTCTAGATGAATTTACTGTCACAACTACAAACTGTCAAATTAAAGCTGGTCTTACTGCAGTGAACTGAAAAAAACAACAACCTGAAAGGAGCCAAGAATTAGTCTGTTTTATGTTATCTGTGTTCATTAAAGGAAAGATCGGGTCACCATACAGGGACAAAAAAAAAAAACATCTACTGGGAAGAAAACTATTCTGAATCCTCAGACGAATGATGTCATTTAAACATTTCTGGAATTCCTCTATTGTTTACCAACATTGTACCATACTAAGAAAAAAATTATTCACAAAGGATTTTAGGCCTTTACCCCAGTAGGGATAAAGGTGTACAGAAAATGGATGAATGGATCTTAGGCCTTGTAACTTTTACAAAAATATGCTTTTTTGTTGTTTTGTTCCATATTTGTTAAAACCGCAAGGACAGAATGTAGATAATCTGTGAAAAGATTGATCTCCTCTCCCTCCTACATGTGGTCCTACTGCCATTGGCAGAAATGCATGCAGTCAAAACCAACCAATCAGAGCCAGGAGGAGGGGCTTTGCGCGGTCACTTAACCTCATGTATGTGCTGAAACAACGTATCGTTACAGGAAAACCGTTTCTCCATTGTCATCGGTGGCAATGCTAACTAGCCTTAGCATTGCCGGCTGCCTCAGAAGAAGTGAGCTAGATTTAGCATAGCATGCGTTTGTGAGCACAAAATGAGCCTCTGGCACAGCCGACAACAATGCAGTAAGTGGCTCAGGAGGCTAAGTCAACAACAAACAGTCATGCTCAACCTCTGCTGGGGTTGCTAAGTAACAGGCTGGGGCTGCTGGGTAAGGGACCAGTAACATCTTCTGTAAATCCCCGACTCCAATTTCCCCAAAACTCCACATACGTAGCCGTATCCATACAAGCAGCTTGTTACTCCGACAACATCTCCTCTGATAGCTGATAGATGATGAGCTCTGACGTTTGAAATATGAATATATGTCATGCAACAGATGACGTCCACTGCTTCATTGATTTCTAAAGGCCCATAGCGTGGGCAAGCTTATTCACATGTGATTTTTGACTTGGGTCAAACCTTTTAGGTTTCCATCCACAAGCTTCTCATATTAGGATGGCAGCTCTCTGACTCATTCCACCTGACAAACATACGCAAACACACTCAGGTCTGCAGGTCAGAAATATTCTCTGAAATGTTGCATTTACTGCTACGCCAGTAAAATTCAGTTTTTGAGATACATTTAGCTCATTTTTGACATGTGATTTTCAAACACGGCTCTCAATAGGACTCCGAAGGAGGTTGAACACAAATACTCTTTTCCCCTTGTTCAGATGATTTTGATTAAATATTGCAAATTTATAGCATTGACGAATATTGGTGCAACCTTAATCAAAGGCAGCCTTATGTGGCGTTTGTCGTAGGTTCCAGGGATTTTGTAAGTTGGGCCGTTCTAACGTGCCTAGAAAGCCAAGTTTCTGTTGTTGTTTTGTTTTATGCGTTTTAATGTTTGGTCCTAAACTTTTTTATTGAGAAGGTATTACTATGTTGACTGACAAATTTTGTATGTGAATTAGTTTGGCTAGCCAGCACACAAAAATGTTATATTTTTGATCGACTCAAATCACATCAGATTTCTGAGATTGATGATATATATATATATATATATATATATATATATATATATATATATATATATATATATATATATATATATATATATATATATATTGTATATTCTTTCTTTTAAATTTGTTTCAATGGTCTTATTATCTTTCAGCTATGTAACCATTTTGATGTGCTCAGTGGGTTTTAATGAAGAAAATAAAGCGACAGGCACATTTACAGGAAGAGGTTTTAATTGTTTTAATTTTACAATCATTAAACCCAAACAGAGTTTGGCCCATTTTTTAAACAGGAGTCTTCCATCACACACAGCTAAAATTAATGCATAATATACAGAGCAGAACTGATGTGGTGGTGATTCGCTGGCAGCTTACTTTTCTGGTGGTTCCAATATCTCAGTTTGAGTCAGTTACGTGTGTGTGTGTGTGTGTGTGTGTGTGTGTGTGTGTGTGTGTGTGTGTGTGTGTGTGTGTGCGTGAGCAATATTAAATGCTTTGTCACTGTGTTCCAAGCTTGGCATTTAAAACCTGGGTCATGTTACAGTTTACTGTGGATAACTTGCAAATTTTGACACCACATGAATTCATTGTTCAGGTTCAGTTACGAATCATGGACTAACATCAGGAATGTATCATTTCTGACATATTAAACAAAAAAGAAACCTTAATAATATTATTTAAAGACAAGGAGCTCACTGAAAAATTCCAGGCGAAGAAAAGCTGTACTTGGAATTACTTTTCTTTTTGTCTACAGTATGTTAGCCTTACTGGAGCCAGGCTGGAATATCTTCAGAGTCACAATGTGCTTAATGGTTTTTCTAAACCAGGGATAAAATATGGTGTAGATTAAAGGGTTCAGGGAAGAGTTAATGCAGAAAAGACACAGCACGGCAGCAGACGTGTTAAACGATACGTCGCCTCCTAGAGCACCACAGTAAAACGGACAGAAACATATTAGAAACACGACGACTAAAATGCCGAGAGTCCTGGCTGCTTTCAGCTCAGATCTTTGGACTTTTGCTGAACGCTGCAGAGACACGGCTGTAACAGAGGAGCGGATGGCTCGGGCCTGAAAAACGGCCACTACGAACACTCTGCTGTAGAGAACTATGATGACCGTAACGGGAACCGTAAAGGTCAAAATAAGATCGATAACAAAAGCGTCATAGTCAAGAACCACACATGTTCCTTGGCATGGAATGTTCTTTCCACTCACACCATCCTTCACAAATGTAATACTGTACAAAGCTGAAGAAAGCCAGCACACACTGATACACAGTCGTATCCTTGTCACAGTGACTCTCCTGTGATAATGCAGAGGGTAACATATAGCCACGTAGCGGTCAACAGATATCAGTACGACATTATAGATTGAGGCACAGACTATCAGACTGACGATGTACGTGTAAAATAGACACATGATTTCACCGAGGAACCAGCAATAGATTAATCTGGATGCTGCACCTGGAAAGAACACAAGGCCCACCATGAAATCTGATACGGCCAGAGACAGAAGCAGGAAGTTGGTGGTTTTGTGAAGCTGCCTGGGGAGGAAAACAGAACAAAAATAAACTGGAACACAGAAACGTCACAGATCAAGCATGTAGCTGCAGTGTAAAATTTGAGTTAAAATTACTGCGAACATTTCCTGCTGATAACGTCATCAACATTGCAGAAATAGTGACAGTGTTTCACCACAAGTTTTCCTTGCCTGAAATGGGAGACTGAAATGATAACAAGCAGATTTAGAGCAACAGTAACCACACAGTTGAAGGAGACCAGAAACTGCAGAACTACGGCGCTGAACCATGGAACTGCTGGCTTTCTGCAGGAGGTGTTGAGTTGTGGGAAGCAAAGTTCTTCATCGTGAAGCTCCATCATCAGAGACCATGAAAGATCAGAGCTGAGAAAGCTTTGTAACTCCTCTTTATGCCACTTTACTCCTTTGTAGCAAACAGCTCCTCCCTGCCGACCTCATCCATAGCAACTTCCCCTTGTCAACGTCACGTCAACAGTGTTTGTTGTTTTTCTTTGGCTCTTCTTGTTATTCTTGTTGACCAATTTTACTGCATGGCTTCCCCCAGAAAACTTGCTGGGTATGGAACGTTTTCAGAACTTTTTCTTCAATTTTTCACTTTTTATGTCATTGGAGCCATTTGTTATGATCCAAAAATGTTCAAACTGTTTGTTGTGAATGAATACAAATAGTAATAGTTCATTCAGACCCTCTGATGAGACGAAGATGTAACTTTTTGGCATTAATTCTAAGTGGTTTGCATGCAGAACATCAGGCTCTGCTAATTACCTACGCAATACAATCCCAACAGTGAAACATAGTGATGGCAGCATCATGCTGTGGGGTTGCAGGTGCAGGGCGACTGATGGCAATTGAAGGAAAGAGTAATCCGGCCAACTACAGAGATATTCTGGAAGAAAACGTTTGCCAGAGTGCTCAGGACCTCGGATTTGGTCCAAGGTTCAACTTCAGCCAGGAGAATGAGTCGAAGCACATGGCTGAAATTACAAATGAGTTGTTTCAGGGCTTTGACCGGCCCAGCCAAAGCCCTGACCGAAACCCAATTGAGCATCTCCGGAGAGACCTGAAAATGGCTCCACCAACCTGATGAAACTGGAGAGAATCTGAAGGAAGAACAGCAGAGGACCCCAAAATCTAGGTGTGAAAAGCCTGTTGCAAAATTCCCAGGAAGACTCAAAAGCTCAAAAGTTGCTTGTTGTCAATACTTTACTATCACTGTTACTGGTGTTACCCTGGAGGGGGGCTACTAAAGAGCGGATGGTGACATTTCAGTACAGTCTGTCCAAAAACACAAAACAAACAACATAACAAATGGGTGAACATGTGCCTGTTACACTACCGTTCCATTAGATGCAAAAATGAGCACTAGGAAAGAGAAGAAAAAAAATAACAATATCTCACACGTTTAACAAAATTTAAAATGCCAAAGTGAACAACACAACCAGCTGGTGCAATCGAATAAGAAGAGAGTCGTCTCCCTCTATCTACTAGTGAGGGGACGGGTTCTGACTGCTGTCCGTGCTTACGCACCAAGCAACAGTTCAGATTGTCCACCCTTTTTGGACTCCTTGGAGGGGGTACTGGAGAGTGCCCCTCCTGGACACTCCCTTGCTCTGCTGGGGAAGTTCAATGCTCACATGGGCAATGAGAGTGAGACCTTGAGAGTTGTGGTTGGGCGTAACGGGCCCCGCTTCCCCATCTGAGCTTGAGCGATGTTCTGTTGCTGGACTTCTGTGCTCATCATGGATTGTCCATAGCAAACCCCACGTTCATGGATAAGCGTGTCCATATGTGCACTTGGCACCAGGACGCCTCTCCAGTGAGACAGAGCTTGATTTCCGGGAGAACTTTAAATAAACACATCCTGGGGGAGGTGGAGAACGTTGAGCCTGAGAGGACCGTGTTCCGCACCTCCATTGTCGAAGCAGAGTATCAGAGCTGTGGCTGCAAGGTTGTCTGTGCCTATTGTGGCAGCAACCCTCAAAAACGTTGGTGGACTCCTTTGGTGAGGGATACTGTCAGAGTGAAGGAGGAGTTCTGAGTTCTATTGGGTTTTCTTGGCTTGTAGGACCCCAGAAGCAGCTGATGGGCGGCGGAAGAAGAAACTCAGGCATGAGAGGAGTTCAGAGAGGCCATGGAGAAAGACTTCCACATGGCTTCTGCGTGATCCTGTCCACTATCCGGTGTATCAAGACAGAGGACCAGTCGAGGTCAGCACCTATTTCTCTAGTTGCGAGAGGTTGAGCAGCTTCAGTCTTTCCTCTGGCTGCATCCCCCAGAATGCTGTGCAGTTCTAGAGATCAGTGGATAGTCTATGTATTGAACATACCATCAGATGTGTTATTCATATTGATCTCATGTCCATTGAGATATATATTGTTAATGATTGATTTTATAGCCCTAATGGTTTGTAACCCAGAGTTAAAATCTCCTTACCACTAAAACATCTCAGTTTTCTGGGCTGATAGAGATAATGAGCTTTTTTATAGGCGCAGTCTGTGTGTCTGTTCACTTCAGTTCCCAGGTACTTTAGAGACTCCACTGCTGGACCTGGATGACAGTCAGCTGGAGTTAGTTTTACATGTAAATTTGCACAAAAAAGCAGTTTGTATAAATCAGGGACACATTTCCTGAATATTTTTCAGCTCTTAATAAGATGAAAATGAACATTGAGTTTTGACCGGAAAACGAAAGGAGACTTGAGTGAAAAACAAGAGTAGTTGCTAAGTGTGAGTTGAGATGTGTGAAGAGGGCAGAGCGAGTTGCTGTGTGTGTGTGTGTGTGTGTGTGTGTGGGTGGGTGTGTGTGTGGCGTACAGAGATTAAAAAGGATGCAGAAAACAGCTGTGTTCAGAGAGACACTGGTCTTTTAGGGTCTTTCGCGATGGAGGTGTATGACGTAGAAGAACTCTGCTTTCCACAGCTCTACAACACGTCGTGCAGGAAGCCAAAAATGTCAAGGAGCCCGCTTGTGTTTCTGCTGTTTTCATCAGTGTGCCCACTGTGACGCTCAATCTGCTTGTGATCATTTCAGTCTCCCATTTCAGGCAAAGAAAAGCTCATCATCACTGAAACCTTCACCACCAGATGATTGTATTTGAAATATTTTGCATGTCACACAAAACTGTCAAACCGTTGCCTTGTACTGATTATACCT